GCACACAGCTCCGTGCTGGAGCGTGCCATGCACCGGGAGCACCACCGGCCTCACATCACCCTTGAGATTCGGGAGCTGCAGCTTTACCACGTTCCCTCATGAGGGATTTTTCCCCTTTTCCCTGTGCAGCTTTCCATGTGGTACCCATGAAGATGAGGCTGAGGACACGGAAAGCTTCCCAGCAGTCCAACCAGCTCCACACGCAGCGGGCGCTGCGGGCCAAGCGGAAACACTCGGAGGTGGAGGAGCCCTTAGCTGGCGGCGGGGGAAAGCCACCCAAAAATGAGACGGGCCTCTTGTCTTCGATCAAAAAGTTCATTAAAGGAAGCACACCCAAGGTACGCCGCCTGCAGGGCCCTGCTTTGCTTTCAAGTGGGCCGTAATCTCCTCAAGTTTGGTTGAAATCCAGTTCTGTTGAGAATTAATCGTGTGGTGGAAGCAAAACGTAAAGAGTTGGAAGGCAACAGGTGCCTGTGAGTTGTGTCAGGTAAAGCTGACTTTGAAACCTTCAGGAGTCAATTGTAGGTGTATTCAACAGTCCAATAAATCACAGGCTTTATTGCCTGGTGTTTCTTTGTGAAAATGTCAAATAAATGCAGTACATTTTTCATTTCTACTTTAACGATTCCTTGGATCCAAACTCAAGGAATTACCAGTACCAACAACTTAGAAAAGCCAGTCTGTAAGCATTAATTTCTTGACTATTTCTGGCAATTTTATTCAAGATTGTTCGGGAGTCATTTAATCAATGAGGGTCAAACCTCACAAATCCAAGTGCCATGGAATTGATGCAGCTGCTCAGGGATTCCTGCAGTGAGCACTTCCCTGCTTGGAGCATCACATCCAGGTTTTGCTGGGGAAAACCACAAAATCTCACATCTTGGTGCAGCTAGAGAGCTGAGCTTTACTGATCTGCACATGGGAGCACCTGTTGCGTGTGCTGCATGGATATTCGAGGGTGGAAAATATATATATACAAACACACACACATATATAAATTAAAAATATAAATTTATATATAAAAACTTTTAAGGCTGAATGTAATCTTGCAATTACTTCAAAAACTGGCTTTTTTTCTCTAGATGGAGGCCAGTTAAAAACCCCACATCATCCATCCATCCATCCATCCATCCATCCCAGCGGTTCAGATACTGCCATTATGTAACTGCAGATTCGAAAGAAGAGTATCCAGGAAGTCAGAACTAATTTACAATGTATCCCAGATCAGCTCTGTGATAAATAAAAATCTGATAAAATTTCAACATTTTATCGACTTGTCGTAGGTGTTTTGGGGGAAAAGGGTAAGAAACCTGCCATAAACCTGCCATATGCCTGCACATACAGCCATGCACAGAAGATGTGCAGAACTGTTTGGTTCTGTCTCATTGCCATGAGTGCTGCAGTCACTTATTCCCAGGTAAGGAGAATCCTTGGATTTTTCACAGCTCAGTTTTGCCCTGTACTCATATGGATTGTCACATTGGACATTGTTGGGCAGTGCACCTGTTGTGTGTTTAGCAGGCAGAGAAATCAAGTTTCAGGTAATTTTAGTTGCTTTGTCTGCATTTCCCAGCCTCTGCAGCACTGGAATATTTAGCTTGGCTGTAAGGACAATATTTCTACTACAGCAGCTCTATGTACAGTTTTCATTCCCCATACTTTGATTTAGTTTAAACTCACATAAGATCCCAGCTGGCCAACCCCTTGTTGCACGTTCTGCACCTGGAAGTGGAGCAGCAAAGGGATCTTTGGTGAACTTTCTCCAGGAGATGACATTCTCTGGTCTGTTCTGTGGCAAAAGGCACTGCTCAGCACGTTTGTTTCTCCCCTCTTTTGTATTTTAAGGAAGAAAGAGAAAATCCCCCCAAGAGGAGTCGGATTGAGCGGGATATCGATAACAACTTGATCACCTCCACGCCCCAGGCAGGAGAGAAGCCCAACAAACAGCTGTCACGCGTGCGGCGGAAAAGTCAGCTCAATGGAGGTGGGCGATGGCACACGGCAGGGCAGGGCAGGGCAATGTGGGCACTGCCGGGCAGGGCAAGGCACTGTGGGGCATTGCAGGGCAGGGCAGCTCTGCCCCTCCAGCTGGGCACTGACCCAGGGCCCTGCTTGCACCTCTGCCTGCCTGCAGGGAGAGCAGGGCTGAGCTGATCACAGCCAAACACAATTTCCAGGGTGAGCAACACTTCCACCTTCCACTGTGTATCTGTGAGAACAGTTTGGATCAGCAGCTGCGGCTGCTTTGGAGCTAATTTAACTTTTTTTTTTGTTTTTAATTATTGTTCTGAAAGTCCCATTATAATTTGATTTAGCTCTTCTGTTTTTTCTCACAAATAAGAGGGAAACATGACCTCCCAGCTCCTGACTTTTGTGGAAGTAAGCAGGCATCATTAGATGGTGAAAGCTCTTGTCAAACACACACAGGTTTCTGTCAGAGTTGTGAGATGGGGGTTTGAGTTTGATGAGAGATCACCCTTGTTACGTATCAGATGTGGAACGTGGATGTTCATTTAATTCTGTCCTGTGTTATCTGTGATCACAACTGACAATTCCCTCCCTCCCAAGCTGTGGCTGTGCCTGTGTGTGTGTGTGGAGAGGAACAAACTCCAAACTCGGGGCTCTGGAGCAGCTGCAGGCTCAGCCAGGCAGTTGTGACCCTTTCTGGTGCCTCCCTCTAGTGGAGTGCTGGCACTGGCAGCTCCGGGGCTGCCTCCACCAAATCGCTGCCAGGATCTCCACTCTGCTGCTGCCCCATCTGCACAGAAGCTTCTGAGGGTGTTGAGAATGGGCATTTTGGGTTTGTGCTGGTAGGAAGCTGCTGACTCTCATGGACCCAGCTGAGCCATGAACAAGAGTACACCCCTAGAATGCAAATGCTGGCCATAAATGAACAGAGGCACCTGAATCCCAAGTGGGTGATGTTAAAACTCATATTTTTTCTTTTCTAGAAGCTGGAAGTTATGAGATGACGAACCAACACGTAAAGCAAAATGGAAAATTGGAAGATAACCCCACCACAGGCAGTCCCCCACGAACAACGTTACTGGGAACCATATTTTCTCCTGTTTTCAATTTTTTTTCACCAGCAAATAAAAATGGTGAGTATTATTCAAAAAGCCAATAGCTTAAAGCTGAGAGTGATAGAGTTTTGTATGAAATAGCTGCTTTGAGTGACAGTACACTTTTCATTCTGGCTTACAAACCAAGAGTTACTGCTGGCAGGCAAAAAGGCTCCTTTGGTCTTGGATGGGTTGATGGTTAGTGAAAGAAGCTTACAAGCGTTAGAACACTTCTTTCATGGGTGCATTTATTGGTGCACCTTTCATTAAAAAAGAAAATAGGGAGAAGGAAAAACAAAGGGATTACATTCCTTGTCCCAGACGTGTTTTAAAGTCATTGTCATGGTCTTCAGTTTGGTTCTTACTTTTGTGGCGTGAATCTGTGCAGGTATCTTTATTTATTCTTAGACTCCGTGTGTGTGTGTGTGTGTGGTTTGTAGTGAGTGTGAGCCCCGTGCTGGGGGCTCAGCCCCAGGTAAGGGTGTTTGCAATGTGCCCCAGGTAAGGCTGTTTGTTTGCAATGTGCCCCAGGAACGTCGGGCTCCGACTCGCCGGGCCAGGCCGTGGAGGCTGAGGAGATCGTGAAGCAGCTGGACATGGAGCAGGTGGACGA